ATACCAAATTAATTTACTGATAATGTGATAAGTTTCCTTTGTAAGTGCACATTAAAGTATTAGACCACCATTATACACCATACAGGTTACTAACATTAGCATATAATGAAAATGAAACATATTGATTCATCTTTCTTGAGGTGTATGTTATGATGCAACCGAAAGCTAAAAGCTTCTATTCAACTTTAGAACCAATGGGTAGATTGTAATATAATAATTCAAACAAAAAATGCTTTTCCTATTTTTTTTCTATAGATTGGCGAAGTATAAAAGCATCAAAGCAATCATCCAAGCAAAAAAAAAAAATCAAAGATATTTTGTGCAAGAAGAACACTAAGATAATTGAAAATGGATCTTGCATCAGCCTGTAAGAAACTAGAAAAAAAAACTAAAAAATATTTACTCACAACCAAAAGTTGAGTGACCAAAATGTAAATTTATTAATAATTAAATGATCAAAATTTTAGCATATTCATAGTTAAGTGACTAAAATATAAATAAAAAGTTAATGTCCGTTTGATATTGAACGACGCAATGACTTGATTGTGACAATTGATTAATTGAGTGACTCAATTGTGATTTTTTTAAAAAAAAGTGACCTAATTGTAAACATACAAATAATACAGTGAAGTGTGATATAATTTACCCTTTATGTTACAATTATTAGAAAATAAAGGTTTTACTTTAGCCTAATTCAGGAAATACAAAACTTGGAAAGTCTCGACAACCTTAATATACGGCTAAGGAAATGAGCTATCGGTTTTGTTATTATTTTTTTAATAAAATCAGTAAAAAATTATCAAAAACATTATTATTTCTACCGGTTTTGTTATTATTGGGCGTTTTACCAATTTTGTTAACATATCCGATAAAACGTTACCTAAAATATTATTTTTTCTACCGGTTTTGTTATTATTTGACACTTTACCGGAAATGTTAAAAAATATTAATGTTTTAGGTAGAAATAATAATATTTTAGGTAATATTTTACTGTTTATTAAATAATAATAATAAAATTAGTAACATCTTTCTTTAACCGTATATTAAGGGGAAGCATGGTAAAACTTCCCCTCAAATGTGTTTTTGTAACGGCTGTTGTAACTTGGTCGGTGGTGGAGAATGCTCCGGTATGGTTGAAAAGTTGGAGAAAAAAGTCAAATTTGTAATTTTAATTAGATTAGTTTATATAATGCACAAATGTATCAACATGAGTTGATTCAAGTGGTAAGTAGCTTGATATCGCTTAAGCAAGATCTCGAGTTCGAGTCCTTGTATATCGTTTAAACTAGGTATGCGACGCAAGTCAGTCCAAAATAGTCAAGATGAAGTCTTAATACTAGAAGGACAACAAAAAATAAATATAATGCACAAATAAATTATATTTTATATATCGGTATACGTATAATTAAAATTAATTATTACAATATATGAATAAATAGATAGATAATTAATATATATTTAAGTTTAGCCTAAAAATAGGACATGAATAGTTGAGTGACTATTTTGTAACTTTTAATAATCGGATGACTCAACAAAACAATGTCTTATAATTGAGGGATCATTTTTATAACTTTCAATAATGATAAACTCAACAAAATATCACTTTATAATTGGAAAACCATTAGTGTACTTTATCCTATTTTCAATTAATAGTAGTTCCTAATAGTAGATCATAAAATTAGACATGAATATTGATTTTATGTATATTATTATAATACATGAACTTTTAATTTTATTATTTTATTTAAGTAATATTTTAATTCTATTCAATTATTCAGATGAAGATTTATTAATATTTCATTAATTGAACTCTTGAGTGAGCTTAGTGGTGAAAAGGAATATAGTTTTTTTCTAAAATTCTTGTCGAACATTTACGTGTACAGAATGTGTATGCATTATCGTAGGATAAGAAAGTATACTAATATTTTAAACTTAAAAAAATTGCACACAAGCTTTAAAAGGTAAAATTACGCCTTCAAATTCAATTGGGAGACACCTTTAATAATAGGTGTATATTTGCTTTCTAATACACCTTTCAAGAGCAATTCTTCTATCTTCCTTTCAAGAACATCTTAATTTGTAAGCAAATTGGAGCAATGCAATTTGCAAAGTGTTATTTTCTTGAGGCAATGCCTCAACGGAAAATAAAGAGGGAAAAAACAAAGGAAAAACTCATACACAGTGATTAAAAGGACAGAATTTTGAGTAAGTAATCTCATGCAGTCTGTGTCGGTGCTTCTAAGAAAGCATTAAAATCGTCCCTAGCCTTACGCAAACGAGGCGTTATGCGAGAAGCAGGTGAGGCAGGGTACGATGTTGGGGATGATGCAGTGAACCTGACATGCCGAGATGATGATGATTCGTGTGATTTCCTGCCTGTTGATCTTGTTTGACTTGAACCATTCTTCAAAACTCCTTTTACATCTTTATTATCGAACACGAAAGCAGAAGAAACCGGTAAATCCGAATCGTTCCCAAGACTTTTAATCAACTCCAATGGAAGATCGAAGTAGGTATTCATGGAGTCACCGTCATCAACATCACGGTCTGGTATTATCGTTGATGAAGCCCAGGAACCGCATTCGAACTTTTCCAGGGAAACTGTTCTGGATATCGCATTATAATTCTCCATCGCCATTGCTTCTTTTCTAGGCTTTACTTGCTTGGCCTTGGTAAACCCTGGTAGGAACAAGCAAAGGGCATTGCATTTGAAGTCAACTTCATTACCATCCATCTCATCACCATTGTTAATCACATTCGGATTGGAGATTAAACTTCCATGTCTATAATGCTTGTTGTAATGAAAAGCGTTTTTCTCGTACATCCAAAGATCATCGACTTCATCTGGCGGTGCACATGTTCTTCCATCTCCACAAGACTTGCTTTTCAGTGACGGATGCTTCTTCACCAACTTGTCAACCTGCGGAGGCGATGTTTGGATTTCGGCTTTCAAGATCTTCCTTGACAAAATCAAGCCGAATCGAGGGGACGACGTCGCGGAGTTGGGAGGGCTATAACTTAAGAACTTGTGCTTTGCGGGTAGCAAAGGGGGTGGAAGAGGGATTTCAGTATCAGCTTGGGGAGCTAACATCATGTTGAAGCTTATTTCTCCCATGGATGATTCTCGCAATGAAATTGGATCAACCGGTATATGTTTCTCCTTTTGCAGGCTATACTTTTTGACCAGGATTTTAGGCACATCAATTGCTAAGTCAAGCTCGTGTAGATCCTTATAAATCTCATCGAGTTCTCGAGCAATTTTGTTTGTGGTGGGAACTATTTTCCAAGTAGGAAGTGCCATTAAAAGAGAGAAACTGCCATAGATTTGGAGGCGGATGGCATATATATATATGGAAGGAGCAGCTTATAGTAAGTGATTTGCATGTCGCATAACTTGGCTCCATATTAAGGAAAGTAGAGGCTGATTATCAATACAAAATTCATTCATCTTTACTATAATCAACAATTGATGCGTTCCACGAACACTAAAGATTGACTTTGTTAAATCAGAAAATGCTTGCACGTCCATTACTTCTAAAATAGTCAATCTTAAATAATGTTCTTTAAATCCAAATCACATATGAAACCTAAGGGTTTTTGTTTCCAGTTCAGTTGCTTGTTTTGACTTGTTTTAAATGGACTCAACAATGTTTATTAATAAAAAATCATTTAATTTAATTATTGAATCAAATATATAAAGATCAATATTATCATCAACGTTCATACGAGTTTTATTATTATTATTATACATAACTGAGTACAAATTAACACCCTAGCTTGAGTTTCCAACTGCACTAACTCAACTACAGAGCTCAGTGATGAAGCAAACATCTGTCCGACTTACATGATTTTTTATATGATTTTATTTCAATAATATGAAGGTTTGATTTATCATAATTGTACACATAAATTATTGAATTGATCTAATATCTCTATCGTATTAAATTAAAATAATGCCTTCATTAATATATTTAAAAATTTAAAAATTATATATAATAAATAATTATATATTTTAATTAATTCGAAACTTGACATACATTATCTACATTAATATATTAATGGTAAATATTATAATATCAGTATAAGAAAAAGTTATAAAAGACTATAAAACTCAATTTATTTTCCACTAATATAAATTTATCCCTTCCCTATAATAAGACTAATGAAAATTACAATATATAGGTATTTCTTATAATTAATAATGATTAATAGAATATGAATTATTTAATAACTTAACTACTTCATTTATAAATTTAATAAATATCATATAAAAATATATCATATTATAAAAATATATATTATACATAAAATAATAAAATTAAATAATAGGTCTATATTCTTGTCAAAAAATAATGATAGGTCTATATTTATATATGTGGTATTATATAATAAATATTACAAAACATCGTTTTGCATGTCAACAGCGTAAGAAGATGGTAACATAGCATCTCAATGTGAATGTTCCCAAGGAATATTTTTGCTTGTGGGGTAACGGTAGCCAGATCTATAATTCCAAGGAACCGATTCCCTTTCAAGCTTGCTTCATATGTTCCAACCATGGTTTTCAAAACCGGACCGGTCAACGACCCGGTCGTGTTATTGGTTCACTAGTTCAACCGGTTAAACCGATTAGATCGGTCGGAAGAATCGGACGACGTCATAATTAATTAATTATTTAAAATTTTTAAATAAAAATATAAAAAACATTTAATAAAAAATAGTTTTTTATATCACAAGTCATATTCAAAGCAAGTTATAACATATATAAGTTAAAAACTATAAAATCAAGTGAAACAAAATGATTCAAATCAACTACAACATAATATTTAAGGTAAAACATATTAAATAATAAATATAATTATATAACTATAATCAAAAAATAAATTTGGGGCTAAAAAAATCATAACAAACGATATAGTTTGGTTTAATTTATTTTTAAAAAAAATCTCACATGGCTAAGAAACATAGAAGATCATCACAAAAATCTAAAGAGTAAAAATATGAAAACAAAACAATCCCATGTGGCATTGAGGTCTGGCCGATGTGATGGGATAACCAGAGATGCTGTTGCAAATGCGCCTGCATTCGAGGACGTTGCCGATAAAATATTCAGCCTTTTGAATGGTAGGATTTGGGTGGGGCATAACATTCAGAGATTCGATTGTGTTCGTATCAAGGAGGCATTTGCCGACATTGGTAGGTCTCCTCCTGTATCTTTTGGGATCATTGATTCTTTAGGAGTCCTCACAGAGAAGTTTCGCAAAAGAGCTGGTAATATGAAGGTACAAAATTCATAGCAAACTTGTTATATGTAAGAATAATATCATTTTAAGACATGAATAATATCATTTTAAGACATGACAAACCTATTATGTCCTAAATAGTTGCCCTGATCTGATTTCCCGTCGAGCAGATGGCGAGCTTAGCTACTTACTTTGGGCTTGGGAAGCAAAAACACAGGAGCCTGGATGATGTTCGCATGAATTTAGAGGTTTTAAAGCATTGTGCAACTGTTCTCTTTTTGGTATGTTAGCATGAATTTAACTTCATCTTAGAATCAAAAGATCAAATGTTTTAAGTATTTGAGTTTGTATGATGCTAGGAATCCAGCCTCCCTGCCATATTGAATGGAAGTTGGAAGAGTACCCCAACGATAACGACACGAAGTAGAAGTGGAAAATCGACATGCAGGGAAGAAACCAGCAGGAAATCACCGTCCCTACCTTCTGTTGGATATCAAAGATCAGTGCCCTACACAAGGGGAAGTTTGGGACAGGTTTTATTCCATACCAATTTGTGAATAATTATGTAACATGGTTTCTTGATTTGGTTAGTGAGGACTAAAAAGGAAAATGAACTGAATGTAGCAGGTGACAGAAAGAATGAAGAATCTATTGCGTAAAGCCCAAGGAAGCCAACCAATTAACAATTTGCTCAAGCATTCTCATTCAGTGCTCAGATGAATGAAAAGAGAAGGAAAAACTCGTCTTCAATGAGAATATGGGATGAAGCATAAGAGGTCCTTCCCCTGGCTTATTGAGTTAATGAATTATCTCAAAATTTATGAGAATTTGGGACACCCTTTTTGTGGTTCTTATTCATTCATTATTTGTAAAATTCGATTAATCAATTGAAGTTGTGAATATGATAAATTGTGTACCATATATTGTAGTACTGTTTCATGCTTCCTCAAGTGCTCGGCCATTTTCTCTGTTTTGAATCTTCTATATTATCTTAGAATGTCAAAAGTCCTAAAGATAGAACCTGCTGATAAGATAGCAGTTGAGCTATCTAAGGAAACAAGAAATGAACTGAAAACTTTGTAATTCTTTATTAACAAGAAGCTGACCTCTCTTGAATTAGAGAGAGGCTATTTATACAGATAAGAATGGAAGCATCTGCTGTTACAACAAATTGTTAATAGCTCAACAACTTAACTGCTACAAGATAACAAACTATTCTAGAACTAGCTAACAAACTATTCTAGAACTCACAACACATCCATAAGCATGTGTTCATAACACTAACATTCACCCTACTTCATTAACTTCTTCAGCACTTGCTTCAGCATTAGCTGCTTCATTAACATTCACCCTGCTTCAATGACCTCTTAGTTGTGTTACCAAGAGTTTCTGTCTGTGCTTGAGAAACGAAGAGGAAGAAAGTGGCTTTGTCAAAACATATGCCACCTTCTCATAAGCAGGAACCTCATTAAACTGTAAACGACCTTTAGCAACCATTTCTCGTACAAAAAATAAGTCAAGCTCTACATGCTTGAACTTAGAATGCTGAACATGATTGGAACAGACCGCAACAGTGCTGGAATTATCACACCACAATGTAGCTTTACCATGTGGAACCACACACAACTCCTGAAGCAATGACTCAATCCAAACAATACCAACAGCTGTAGAAGCAATACTCCTATACTCAGCTTCAGCTGTGGAACGAGAAACAACTTACTGCTTGCGTGAGCTCCAAGAAATAAGTTTTCCACCAAAGAAAATACAGTAACCAGTCGTGGAACGCCTATCATCAGGATCAGATCCCTAATCAGCCGTTCCTTAAAGATAACGTAAAATCCTCTTAACAACCTGAAAATGGCTATTGCGAGGTGACTGCATGAACTGGAAAACTTTGTTTACTGCAAAAGCAATATCTGGCCGAGTGACTAATATGTACTGGAGAGCCCCTACAATGTTTCTATATTGGGCTGCATCTTCAATGGGGTCACCAGCATCAATCGATAACTTGCAGTTGGAGACCATGGGAGTAGGAAGGCTCTTGACATCTCCAAAACCATGTTTATGAAATAGCTCACGAATATATTTTTGTTGAGTCAAAACAAGGCCATTTCCATCAGAACACACCTCTATACCAAGAAAGAAATTAAGAGAACCAAGATCCTTTAACGAAAAATGAGAATTCAGTTTTTCAATCACATACTGAACCTCACTAGCATCACTCCCTGTCAAGATGATATCATCTACATATACAAGCATGTAAGCTGATTTTCGAACAAACAAGGATGAATCAGATTAGACAGAACGAACGTTTCAGAGACCATGTATTCTCAAAGGCTCTCAAACCAGGCCCGAGGAGCTTGCTTCAAGCCATAAATTGTTTTATGCAGGTTGCAAACTAAACCATCACCAGCTTGCACAAAACCAGGAGGTTGAGTCATGTAAACCTCTTCCATCAATGCCCCATTTAAAAAGGCATTATTAATATCTACTTGATGCAGCAACCAACCTCTTGTCAATGTAAGAGTAAGAATCACTCGTACCATTACAGGTTTCACAATTGGACTAAAAACCTCATGAAAATCAATCATTGGTCGTTGAAGAAACCCCTTTGCAACAAGACGAGCCTTGTACCGAGACACTGAGCCATCAGCATTACGTTTCACCTTAAAAATCCATTTGCAGTTGATAGGTACACGATCTTTAGAAAGGGGAACCAGAGACCACGTGTTATTTGTAATCAAAGCATCAAACTCTTCCTGTGCAACTTTCTTCTAATGAGGAATTTTCATAGCTTCTTTAATGGACCGAGGCTCTTCATCAAAGAATTCACATGCAGAACAGGAGGTTTTCGAATGCCTTCTTTGGCCCTGGTAACCATTGGATGTATATTTTGGACTGAAACAGCCCCATGCGCATTGTCATCCGTTGAAGTAACCCCATGTGTACCATCACGATCGAACATTGCTCCAAAAGGGGTGGCCCCATCCGCAACATCATGGTCGAGTGACTCATTGTCAAGCAACGGCGCAACATGTGGGCTATTTGGAATTAAAAAATCACGTGTTGAATATCGTGAAGCACCATGCATGGAATCAACTGCACATGGACTGTTGGCAATTAGTAATCCATGCGTTGGATGTGTTGAAGTAGCCGCATGTGTGGGACCAAGAGCACTATCAACATGCATTGAAGGAGCACATGTTGATGGAGCTTCATATGGATTGTTCCATTTAACATAGCACCGGTTGAATTTGGTGGAGATGGCGTGGAATCAACTGCACGTGGACTGTTTGCACGCATTGGTGGAACACTTGTTGTTGGAGCATTTGCAATTAAAAAATCACGCATTGAACGCGTTGAAAGAGCACCATGCGTGTTTTCATTTTGCAGCGTGGTCCCATGCGTGTTTTCAAAAGCTGTGGTCCCATGCGCACCTGACCCAACAACGTTGAAAGTGCCTTCATTCGCATTACCAAAATCATGTTCATCCAACACTTGGTCCTCGACCATGGCAAAAGGTGTGGTAACAATGTTTTGACACCCATGCGCATTATGCCTTCGACTATTTGATGAGTCATGCGTTGATGGAGAAGCACATGGATTGTTCTCACTTAATAGGGCAGGCGTTGCACGCATTATCGGAGCACTTGCACACATTATTGGAGCATGCATCGTTGGAGCACGTGTTGATGGAGCAAGTACTGGTGGAACGCACATTGATGGAGAAGGCACTAGTGAAGCACACGTTAATGGGACTTGCAATGTCTGTACAGGGGAGACAAGAGGAATAATACCTGTGGAAACACCATTATCTGGAGCAATATTTGAAACACTACACACTGCATAAGGGAAAACCCTTTCATCAAATACAACGTGCCTAGAAATTATTACTCTGCCAGAGTCATCGAGACATTTATACCCCTTATGGGTAGTGCTGTATCCTAGAAACACGCACATCTTTGACCTGAAATCTAGCTTATGACAATTAAATAAACGCAAACAAAGATAGTAAGCACATACAAATACCCTGAGAAAAGAATAATCTGGCAATACACGATGCAGAGCTTCAAAGGGAGACTTGTCATGCAAAACAGATGTGGGTAATCGATTAATAAGATAAACAACATAAACAAAGGCATAACTCCAAAATTTCTGAGGTAAAGAAGCATGAGCTAATATTGTCAATCATGTTTCCACAATGTGCCTATGCTTCCTCTCAGCCTTACCATTTTGTTCCGAGGTGCCAGGGCACGAGAGACGATGTTGAACTCTATTTACAAAGAACCACTTTCGAAGTGGTTGATATTCCCCACCACCATCAGTCTGGAGGGCTTTCATTTTGTATCCAAACTGTACTTCAACTAATTTCGTAAAGTCAAGAAAGCACTGAGCCACCTCAGATTTATGTTTCAAGAGATACATCCAGGTATAACGGCTACAAACATCAACAAAGGAAACATAATAAAGAAAACCATCAGTGGAGCATACAGGAGTTGGTCCCCAGACGTCAAAGATAACAAGTTGAAAAGGCTCATTATATTCTGTCAATGATTTACAAAATGGTAACTTATGTGATTTCCCTTGCATACAAGGAGAACATATACTCAGCTCATCATTTTTATTTGAAACAAGATTACAAGACTTCATAACAAGTCAAACTGTATCAAGCGAAGGGTGGCCAAGACGCTGATGCCACAAGTTCAAAGAAGTGGTGGATTTTGAAACATTATTCACCAGGGCAGATGAACCTTGGTTCTTACAAGGAAGCACCTGATAGAGTCCATCATCCGTGAGCCTCCCGCGAAGCAGAACCACTTGAGTCTGGGAATCCTTCACAAGACATTCAGAAGGGTGAAATTCCATGAAGACACCATTGTCACGTGTGAACTGAGAAACAAACAACAGTTTTTTCTTTATGTTAGGTACGTGCAACATATTTTGTAAAATTAACGGCTTTCTATTTGAGCTCAAAAATCCTTGACCAACATGTGTAATTGGAATACCATCACCATTACCCATAAGCAAGGAATTACTACCCGTATAAAGAGTACCTGATTGGAACACAGACATATTATTTGTTATATGATGTGTAGCACCAGTGTTAGGATACCACAAGGAGTCGGTCGATGTTGAAGAACTGGACCCGGAGTTTGTTGGAATAGTGGACATATATGCTGCCGAGCTAGGTGTCGAAAAGGAGAGAGATATACCATGAGGATCATAAGAAGCATTCGAAGCAAATCCGGATGAGAAGCCAAGAAATGAGTAATATCCAGGAGCATATGGGGAGGGAAAGTAAACTGGAGTGGGAACAAAGTTTGAACGAGAAGGCATAGAGGTTATGTTGTGACATAGGGTTGTCCACCAGATTGCACATATTTAGAAGAGTTCCTAGCACCAGTGGACTTCAAACCATTCTCAGTCAATGATTCAGATCCAGACACGCCAGTGTAGTCTCTATCAAAACGATGATAACACTTTTGGACCACATGTCTAAAACGACCACACAACTGGCTTGAGGATGATTATTATTGCGCCCTCGACCTCTACCACGATAGGAGTTTGACTGACCGTGAGATAAATGACCCTGTGATGACCCAGTATTAGTATCTTGAGTTCCATAAGAATCAATTTCAGCAGCACCACCTTCCTGAGAGTGAAGAACAAGATTTGCAGAAATACCTTCACTCAAGAACACCTTCTGTCGAGCCTCGTAATCTAACAACATTTCAGTTAGAACATCAAGAGAAAAGTTTTCTCGTGACGCAATTTCAATGATGGATTCAAACTCCATTGTAAGTCCAGTTAACACAACATTAACATGTTCTTGCTCAGTAACTACACTGCCTGAAGCGTTCAGCAAATCACAACGGATTTCACCTTAGCAAGATACT